AACCAACCCAGCTCATTTCTGCCTGACAGGGCGCGCGAGACCCTGCCGGCTCCTTGTCCAGCCGGCAGACGGGAAAGTCCCGACGGGGCGGGGCCTCCCTTCCTGCTGCTGCGCACCCTGCCGCGGTTACAAAAACCAAATGAGGGAGGGGGCGTGGGCCAAAAAACGGAGAAGGGAAAACCGAAAAGTAAAAAGAAACCGAGAAACCCCAAGGGAACCACAGAGAGAACAACTCCGGAAAAAAAAAAAAAAAAAAATACCGCACGCGAACACGCACACCCGACACACACACACCCCCCCCCCACACACACACACCCCCCTCCACACACTCCCCCCCACCCACATCCCCCAGCCCTCCTCTGCGTGCGCCAGGCTGCCCGCCTGCTCACGGACCACTGTCTCCCTCTTGCTCGCTCGCTTGCGTGCCTGCCTACCGGCCCCCGACGAGCAGCCCGTCTTTTCTTCGCTGACGGGGACCCGCTTGCCGAGCCGGAGGGTGGTCGGGGGGGCGAGGGGTGTGAGGGGGGGCGAGCGCGCAGGCGCAAAGCGATCGATCGATCGCCCTCCGGCCCGGCACTCGTCCCCCCGCCCCCTCGGGAAGGCTTCTGTGGAAAAGAACCACGCGCGCACCCCGTTTCCTTTTGCTTTCTCCTTCCCTTTCTCTCTCGGGTTATGTTCTCGGTCTCCCCGGCCCTCCCTCCCTCCGTCTCCCGTACGCCTCCATTTCATTAAAAGAGGAGGCGGCGGGAGCTCCCACCAGCGGAACCAACCCAGCTCATTTCTGCCCGACAGTGCGCGCGGGACCCTGCCGGCTCCCGTGTCCAGCCGGCAGACGGGAAAGTCCCGACGGGGCGGGGCCTCCCTTCCTGCTGCTGCGCACCCTGCCGCGGTTGGTTACAAAAATCAAAAGGAGGGAGGGGGCGTGGGTCAAAAAACGGAGAAGGGAAAACCGAAAAGTAAAAAGAAACCGAGAAACCCCAAGGGAACCACAGAGAGAACTCCGGAAAAAAAAAAAAAAAAAAATACCGCACGCGAACACGCACACCCGACACACACACGCGCACACGCGCGCACACCCCCCCCCCCCCCACACACACACACCCAGCCCACCTCTGCGTGCGCTAGGCTCCCCGCCTGCTCACCGACCACTGTCTCCTGCTTGCTTGCTTGTTTGCTTTCTTGCTCGCTCCCTCGCCTGCCTGCCTGCCTGCCTGCCTGCCTCCTTACCGGCCCCCGGCGAACTGAGCGCGAGACTGCCCGCCCGGCGGGAGCAGCCCGTGTTTTCTTCGCTGACGGGGACCCGCTTGGCGAGCCGGAGGGGGGTCGGGGGGGGGCGAAGGGGGGGGCGAGGGCGCAGTCGCAGAGCGTCAGGCTGCCGAACGCTGCCCCTCCCTCCGCCCACCTGCTCCTGGGCGGTGCCGCTGTCTGGGGACTGGGGCCGCACCCAAGGCGCGGCGGGTCCGGAACGGCAGCGCGAAGGGAGGGGGAGGGGGAGCGGGAGGGGAGGAGGGGAGGGGCGTGCACTGGGCTCGCTCTCTCTCTCTCTCTGCGTCTGTTATGTATGCGCCGCCTGGGGGGGGGGGGGGGGGGGTGTGTTATAAAAATTTCGCCTTGACCATGATCTGATTTAATTAATTTTTAATTACAATTGATTAATACCGAGAGGCAATAAGCAAGCAGCGCTGGGTACGCCGGGGGGTCTCCGCTCCTCCCAAGACGCACACCGACATTTCTGGGGTACAGTCTCTTATACTCCTCGGTCTTGGGTTTCAGCCAATCCTGTCGTCTCCTTCACCCGAATATCGACGTGGGTCCTTTTCATTGTTCTCCTCCTGTTGCTGGGGTCTTGTCTTCGGGTGAAGAAACTTCTTAAAAGAGTTATTGAATTCCTTGGTAATGCAGTAACGGGGGATGTCTATCACAAGCTTAACCACCATCTTAGTCCCCCTAAATTCCATTTCTTATACAGTTAATACACAAGTTTCACCTCATCCTGTGACAGGATGGATCTCTCGATTACCTAACCCCCTTAAGGCATTCAAGCGCTTAAACAAAGTACCCCTTTAATTAGCAACACGTTTTAGACATTCAAGTAGTTAAACGAAGTACCCCTTAAAGTAACAAAGCGTTTTGATTAAGAAGGATTATTCCTTTGTTTCTTCTTTTTCATCGTTGTACTGACAGGAAAATCTAATCCTTCTTCTACGTTCTACACACGAGGCGACGATTTCAAGGATTTCGGATTCCACCCAAAGCGCAACGATGACGAGGACTCCTAAGTCGCTGACACGATCCGTTCCTATAGATCTCACGGGGGGGGGGGGAGGAGGCGGGGGGGCGGGGGCGGGGGGCGGGGGGGGGTTGCTCCGCGAAGAGCGGGCGGGGCGGGGCGGCGCGGCGCGGCGCGGTGCAGCGCGGCATCGGCAGACCCGCAGGTGCGCCGGCTAGTGTGTTACAGTGTATCCCACGCTCGAGCGCGGGAGCTTGTAAGGGGAACGCGATGTTCGGTCCTCCCGGCCACCGCCCCTGCGGTAATCTGAGCATTTACTTGAGCGCGGACAGTTTCTGTTACCGACCGCGTTTCTGTCTCGGTACGTCCCGGCGCAGAGATGCCTTAGCGGCCGGCGTCTGTCTCTCGCTTGGGCTTGCCTAGGGCCCGGTAGTGGGGACGGGGTGGCCCGTGTCTCTGTTTCTTGGAGCTGTCCCTGCCGGGAGCTCCTGCTCTCTGCCCGACTCTGCTCCCTCTCGGTAGTCCTAGAGGCAAGGCGGCTTTTCCTTGCCGGCCAGGGGTTCTTGCTTCCCCCTCAGCTTCCTCGAGCACCTTGGGGAGCTCCCAGGCAGGCTGAGCGCTGACCGACCCTGGCAGGTGGAGGAGTCCCTGCCCCGGCACACGGCCCCTGGACTGCAGGGACCCTGCTCGCCAGGACACCGCTGGGCACCCCTGGCTGCACACCCACGTTCACACCCTGCAGCCAGCCCCGGAACGAGGGACCTGCCTTGTCCTCTCACTCCCGTGCTGCAGAGGCAAGCCCTAAACAGAGAAACCAAGAGCCCTCCTGACATATCCCAATGACTGTCCGAGGCAGCAGCTTGAGGAGATCCTTCCAGGAGCTGCAGCTGCATTGCCCTGCACCCAGAGCCTTATCGCGCACGTCTCGGAACGTTTCTCCTGCAGAGACCTCTCGGCATCCTCCACTGCCGAGTGCCTTTAAGCTCTCCGAGGCTCGCAGGTCTCCCCCTGTGTGCCTGCATTCAGTGCCCCAGCCCCGCTCCTGGGCAGAGAGGTCTCTGCAGCTCTGCCCGCTTGCCAGCATCTATCTACGTCCCAGGAGCCTGGCCCAGCTCAGCAGCAGCAGACGCCCAGCCCAAGGTGGCTCTGCCTCTGCCCCGCTGGGCTCCCTCCGGGGCTCCCTGGGGCTCCAGGGGAACACCACGGGAAAGAGCCTAAAGCCAGCACTGTTGTTCCTTCCCTCAGGTGGCAGACGCACTGTCTTCCTGCAGTGCCATTTCTCTGATGAGGGACAGAGCTGAGTCGAAAAAACTTTTCTTGGAATTGCACAATCGTTCAATTTGGAAAGGACCCTTGAGAACATTGCCAACCATTAACCTGTGCCTAACAACTCCACACACCATGAGAACACGTGGGGTACCCTGTTTGGATGGTCAGCAAGAGCAACCAGTGAATTTTACACAATTTTACATCCTACCGTAATTTCAGAAACCTCCTTGCATAGACTGAAACACATTTAATAACTGAGTAAACCAACCAAACATTTCCCTCAAGTTATAACTGGAATTCAGCACTGTTTGGAGGCAGAGACAAGAGGTGACCACACCACTCTGTGAGAAGGGTGGATTGAGGGAGACCCCTGCTCATGTTTCTCCTAGAACACGGGAGTAGAAAATGAAATATTACTTTTAATAACGTACATTCCAATTACCACTGAAGATATGGAAGAAGATGCTAAAGCCCAACAGGTTTTACCAGGAAGAACAAAAGTTCCCTCCTGTGCTGTTTCCTTTCCCAGCCCATGGATACTTTCCTCAGTAACTGGAAGGGTAATCTGTGTGTCTACTGCACATGAACAATTTTTTGGTGGTAGATCTGCAGTCAGATTTATCTCCAACCTAACCATGTACCAAGGAAACGCAATTTTCAGCTGTACCTGCAGTGCCCTGCTAGGAACTGCACAGCTGGGGACTCCAGAAATAGCTGGGACCTCTTCTCCCAAGGAATCCACCAGTGACAGGAAGGAAAAACACTTCTCTGTGACACCAGGGGTCACTGCTTCAGCTGAGCTCTATTCCCTTTTCAGAATCACGCCAACCAAGTGCACAGTAGTTTTATCAAAAAAGCTTTTATCAAAACGTGACTTCCCTGGAACACTTCAGTTGTAGAGGCAGTAAATTTATGTACTGGGGTGGGAGGGACCTTAAAGCTCATCCAGTTCCAACCCCTGCCACAGGCAGGGACACCTTCCACTAGAGCAGCTTGCTCCAAGCCCGTGTCCAACCTGGCCTTGAATAGTGCCAGGGATGGGGCAGCCATAGCTTCTCTGGGCACCCTGTGCCAGGGCCTCAGCACAGGGGAGAACTTCTGCCTATGAGCTCATCTCGGTCTCCCATCTCCATGTTTAAAGCTATTCCCCCTGTCCTGTCCCTATAGGCCCTTGTAAAAAGCCCCTCTCCAGATTTCATGTAGGCCCTGTTTAGGTATGGGCTTAGTAAGGTCTCCCTGGAGCTTCTTCTCCAGGCTGGACACCCCTAGCTCAAAGACAAAGCCCCACTGACGCAAAGTCTGTGGTTGACAAGTTGCATAGATACGTAAGTACCAGGGGATGAAAACTGACATGCCATTGAAGATAGCAATGTCAAGTGTAGACGTGCTCTGTCATGGACCTACACTTGGAGCCCTTTGCAGAGGACAGCAGGCATTGTATGGCTGTTGAAACATTCAGTCACCAGCTAACTCAGAGCATCCTTGGGCTTCCTGAGGCTCCAGGGGAGCACCATGGGAAACAGCCTGAAGCAAGCACTGATGCTTTCTCCCTCAGCTGGGAGGCACACTGCCTTCCTGCAGTGTCATTTCTCTGATGAGAGACAGCTTGGTCTAAAGATTTTGTAGAATCATGCAACCATTTAGGTTGGAAAAGACCCTTAACATCGAGTCCACCATTAGCCCAACGCTGGCAAGTCAACACATTAACCATGTGCCTTTGAATACCTCCAGGGGTGGTGACACAACCACTTCAGCAGGCAGCCTGTTTCTTGTCCCCTCAGACAGGACAGGCAGGCCAGGACGGGCTGGGATCTCCTTTACCCCTGCTGCAGGATGGGATTCAGCCTGGTTAGCTGAGGCATCTCACCCTGGGACTGTAGCCGTGGGGCTGGAAGGGGACTCACCTCCCTCCCATGAACACCACAAACCCACACAAGGTCTCACTTCCTCGAAAGGTGAAAATGTACCCATACATAGATGATGTCTTAATCAGAGGAGTTTGCCCCAAAGAACTGCAGAAACAGCAGTGTGGCAAGCACTGTGGTGCAGAAGTTGAAGTTCCACCTAAGGAATGTCAGAAACCAAGCAGAAACCAGTCAAATCGGGGGGTACTTGGTGGATAGCAGCAGTGCAGTGATTGCTGCAGATACCTTCAGAAAAACAGAAAAAGAGCAGATGCCCCAGACTAGGAAGGAATTACAACAGGTTATGGGTCCTCCAGGATACTGGAGGAAACATGGACCTGGAGCTCCATCTATAGGGAGCCGTCAACCTCTTGGAATCAGTTCTCCCTCTTATCCTGGGTTGTCTTCTCCTCCTAGAGCTCCTGCGGGAATATTGTCCATTGGTGGAAAGACTTGGTTTGGATGAGAACTTCCTGGATATCACGGATGTGGTGGAGCAATGTGTAGGCCGCTTCCATCCAAGTGGATGGGCTGGGATCCGTGTCTCAGGCCATGTCTACAAGCACCAAGGTGAGTAGCCCGATCCACCTTGGCTTCAGAATAGCCAGAGAAGTGGACTTGGGAAAGTCCAGGTATCCTGGAATCATGGAATAGCTTGGAAAGGACCTTCAGGATCCATGGAGGCATCAGAGTGGCTTCAGTGCGCAAAGGGGCTCTGGAAAGGGCTTTGGATGAGGAGCTGGAGGGATGGGACCATGGGAAGCTTGGGATGGGATCTTGGGAAGTTCTTGGGATGGGATCTTGGGAAGTTCTTCCCCATGAAGCTGGTGGCACAATGGGGATCTTGGGAAGTTCTTGGGATGCGATCTTGGGAAGTTCTTCCCCATGAGGCTGGTGGGACAATGGGAATCTTGGGAAGTTCTTGGGATGGGATCTGGGGAAGTTTGTCCCCATGAGGCTGGTGGGACAATGGGAATCTTGGGAAGTTCTTGGGATGGGATCTGGGGAAGTTTGTCCCCATGAAGGTGGTGGGGCCATGGGAATCTTGGGAAGTTCTTGGGATGAGATCTTGGGAAGTTCTTCCCCGTGAGGCTGGTGGGACGATAGCATCTTGGGAAGTTCTTGGGATAGGATCTTGGGAAGTTCGTCCCCATGAGTCTGGTGGGACAGTGGGAGGTGGGAGATATCCCATCCCCAAGGCCAAGCTGGAGCAACCTGCTCCAGTGCAAGGTGGCCCTGGATGCACTTTAAGCTCCATCCATCCCATTCCATGATCTAGGAATGTGCTTCCACTTGATCCAGGAAACCAAACCCTCCTGCAGGACCGGAATGCCACCCCCTCACCACCACCCCCTGAAAAATCCATGGAATTTGGTTGACTCCCCACATCCTCCCCACTTCCTTCTCCTTCCCAGCCATCAACATGCAGGATCCAACCAATCGGAAGCTCGCCGTTGGATCCCAAGTGATGGAAGAGCTCCGGGAATGCCTTTACTCCACGTTGGGCCTCAGCAGCAGTGCTGGGGTGGCCACCACCAAGCTCTTGGCCAAGGTGGTCTCTGGGACCTTCAAGCCCAACCAACAAACCCTGCTTCTGCCTCACAGCACCCAGGAGCTGCTGAGGAACCTGGGACCCATCCGGAAGGTGCCAGGTAGGTTCTGGGGTCCCATCCAGGTGGGTGCTGGGGGCCCATCCAGAAGGTGCCAGGTAGGTGATGGGTCCCATCCAGGTAGGTGCTGGGGTCACATCCAGGAGGTGCCAGGTAGGTGCTGGGGTCCCATCCAGGTGGGTGCTGGGGGCCCATCTGGAAGGTGCCAGGTAGGTGATGGGTCCCATCCAGGTAGGTGCTGGGGTCCCATCCAGAAGGTGCAAGGTAGGTGCCGGGGTCACATCCAGGAGGTGCCAGGTAGGTGCTGGGGTCCCATCCAGGTGGGTGCTGGGGTCCCATCCAGAAGGTGCCAGGTAGGTGCTGGGTCCCATCCACAAGGTGCCAGGTAGGTGCTGGGTCCCATCCACAAGGTGCCAGGTAGGTGCTGGGGTCCCATCCAGGTAGGCACTGGGGTCCCATCCAGAAGGTGCCAGGTAGGTGCTGGGGTCCCATCCAGGTAGGTGCTGTGGTCCCATCCAGAAGGTGCAAGGTAGGTGCTGGGGTCACATCCAGGAGGTGCCAGGTAGGTGCTGGGGTCCCATCCAGAAGGTGCCAGGTAGGTGCTGGTGTCCCATCCAGGTAGGTGCTGGGCACCACAGGGAATTCATTCTTGCATTAGACCCAATGCTTGCGGTTTCCTTTAGGAGGCCGGAAGGGCTGGGTTGAGTTGAAGGCACCACCAGTATGGATGGGTCGTCTCCCACTTCCCATTATCCCATCATTCCCACAAGCAAGAACTCCCTCAGCTCCCATCCCAAGGACCCCTCGGATAGGATAATGCCATTCCCATGTCCGTATCCTGACAGGCATCGGCTCCAGGACCGCGGAACGACTGGAAGCGTTGGGTGTGAAAACCGTGGTGGATCTCCAAAGGTTTCCATCTACTGGCTTGGAGAAGGAGCTGGGAATTGCGCTTGCTCAACGGATCCGGAAGCTCAGCTATGGGCAGGATGAGGCCCCTGTGACACCATCAGGACCTCCTCAGGTAGGAGAATTCCTTGAAGGAATTCTCAAGGAAGTCCTTCCAGAAGGTTCTGAAGCTCCATGTGTCCACGATTCATTCCATATCTCCCTGCTTCTATTCCTCTTGGGAATCTGGGATAGAATCCAAGTGATGCGATTCCTTCTGCTCTTGGTCCTTTAGTGATGAAGATTCCTTCCGGAGGTGCTTCTCAGAGGCGGAAGTCCAGGAGAAACTGCGAACGATGCTTCCAAGCCTCTTGGAAAGGTGATTGTCTCCAGAGCTCTTCCCGGTGGAATCATGTTCCTCATGGAATGGCTTGGAAAGGGCCTTCTCCATGGAGTAAAGAGGGATATATGGGGGGGTTCATGGTGGCCTTGAAGGTCTTGTCCAAGCTCCCGATCCCATGATCCAGTGATCCATGATCCAATGCTGTGGCAGCTGCCATAGACTTGGAATAGCACTTATTCCTTGGTGCTCCATAGAATCCGCCAGGATGGCAGGCAGCCACGCACCATAAGGTTGAACATCCGCCGCTTCTCCTCATCGGGAAAGGGGTTCCATCGGGAATGCTGTCAGAGCCCTATCCCACCACATCTCCTTCCCAAATTTGGGAAAGGTAAGCTTGGAATGGTCCACCTTGTGCTGCTACAATGGGATGCCTTTCTCCAATCCCATTATTTAAGGTCATCCCATTCTCAGCTCTTTAAGCTTTGGGAATCTTTTCCATTCCTTGATCCCAAGAAAAGGGGGGATCTTTGGAAGCTCTTCCCTATGGGGCTGCTGGGACAATGGAATGGGCTGGAAGAAGCTCCGGCCTCCTTTGCCTTTGCTTCATCTGCTCCATGCCCTTATGTTGAGGCCACCAGGACATGGATGGAGCATCCATGTGGGAATATCCATGAGGGCTGGAATCATCTCCCATTGGAATCGGGCTTAGGCGGACATAGGAGACATTGAGACCAGGATGCTCCAAACTTTACCCTTTCCTACTCAACTCGCTGTTATTCCATGCGTTCCTTGGGATCTGATCCCTGTTTCCCAAGGGTTTTCCCATCTTGTAGATCCCGGGAGCCTCCTCTCGCCCTTGGGGAGCATCCTAATGAAGCTCCTGCGGAAGATGATCCCGACGGAGCTCCCGTTCCACCTCACCCTCCTCAACATCTGCTTCTCCAGCCTCCAGGAGCTTCCCACCAGGAAGGGCTCCATTGGCTTCTACCTCAAGGGCAAGGGCCCAGCACCCCCTTCTGGCCAAGGAGGGAGTGGCAAGGTGTTTGTCTAGGGTGCTTATGAGTGCTATGGGTGCTGAGGGTTCTATGGGTGCTGAGGGTTCTATGAGTGCTGTGGGTGCTAGGGTTCTGTGCATGTTGTGGGTGCTGAGGGTTCTGTGAGTGCTGTGGGTGCTAGGGGTGTTGTGAGTGCAAGGGTTCTGTGCGTGTTATGGGTGCTGGGGGTGCTGTAGCTGCTGGGGGTGCTGTGTTTGCTATGGCTGCTATGGGTGCTGGGAGTGTTGCTGGGGGTGTTATGGGTGCTGGGGGTGCTATGGGTGCTGGGGGTTCTGCAAGTGCTGGAGGTGTGGGTGCTGGTGGTGGTGGGGGTGTTACGGATGCTGTGCATGTTATGGGTGCTTGGGGTTCTATGGGTGTTGGGGGGTCTGGGAGTTCTAGGGGTGCTGGAGTTCTGTGGGTGCTGGGGGTGCTATGAGTGCTATGGGTACCGTGGGTGTTTTGGGTGCTGGGGGTGCTGTGGTTGCTATGAGTGCTATGGGTGCTCGGGGTGCTGTGTTTGGTATGGGTGTTATGAGTTCTTGGGATTCTGTGGGTGCTGGGGGTGCTATGCTTGCTGGGGGTTCTATGGGTGCTGGGGCTGGTATGGTTGCTGGGGGTCCTATGGGTGCTGGGGATGCTATGGGGGTGCTGTGGGTGCTGGGGTTGCTATGGTGGTTGGGGTTCTATGGGTGTTGGGGATGCTGTGGGTGCTATGGGCATTGTTGGTGTTGTGGGTGCTGGCGGTGGTGTGCGTGCTATGGGTGCCTAGAGTTCTGGGGGTGCTGTGGGTGCTGAGGTGCTGCGGGTGCTGAGGGGTGCTATGTGTGCTGGGGGTGGTGGGGGTGCCTTCGGTGCTGGGAGTTCCGTGGGTGCTGAAGGTGTTGGGGGCACTGTGGATGCTGTGATTGCTATGGGTGCTGGGGTTCTGTGTGTGCTATGGGTGCTGGGAGTGCTGTGGTTGCTGTGGGTGCTGGAGTTCTATGGGTGCTATGAGTGCTGTGGGAGCCTTCTCCTGGCCTTTGTCCGCCTGGAGCAGGCTCCAAGGTGCCCTTGGCTGTGGCTCAGGCCGTGGCTGCTCCCTGGTTAGTGACCCCCAGGCTGCTCCTGCTTTGATCTCTGCTCTTTCCATAGGAAGCTGCAGCTTCCCAAGGGAAGGGGAGCGCCTCTTGCAGTGGAATTCCCAACATCAGGAAGCTTCCCCAGGGAGAGGAAAGCCCACAAAGACCCAGAGCAATTCCGTCTTTTCCTTCCATTGCCCAGGAAGTCCTTCCGGAAGCGCTTCAACAAGAACTCCCTTCGCAGCTGGAATTCCATGCTGGGAATGTTCTGGCTCAGCCCTCAGTGCCTTTTCCCAAAGAGATCCAAAACCCTTCCCAAAATCCAACAGGATTAAGCAGTGCTGCTTGCCCTGCAGGGTGTAGTAACTCTGTAGGAGCAACCCAGGCCTCTGAGTACCCCAGCAGGACATGGATCAGGATGGAGAAAGAGCCTCCAGAAGTTGGGATGATCCCGAGTGGGTCATGTGCTTCCAGCTGGGATAAGGAGGCCCCTGCAGCAGCATCGATGGAGCAAACCCATAGTAAAGACGTAGTAATTCCTCCTGATGTGGATACAGAGACCTTCTATGAGCTCCCTGTGGAGCACAGCAACGGGAATTGTTGGCCCAATGGAAGAGTGGATCCCAACGGATGGATAAACCCTTGGGAAAGCCGAAGGCAAGGAAAAGGAGGAGGATGGAAGCGCCCTGCGGCTCCAACAGCTTGTAGAGATACCTTAAACCCCGGGGAGAAGGGGTCGGAAGGAGGGAAGCAGCTCTCGGAAGCGTTTTACGCCTGGAATGGGGTCAGAGTAAAGGGGATGCTCCAACTCCAGACATTCCCTTCCCAAAGAGGCCATAACCACAGTGTAAGCCTGTAGTAACCCCAGTGTAAACCTGTAAAAACCCCACTGTAAACCTGTAGTAATCCCATTGTAAACCTGTAGTAACCCCATCCCAAAGCATTCCCCATGGCGTTCAGAGCGGGCGTTCCTGCCTCATTCCCACCCGGAGCAAAGCAGGAGTTGCTGTTTAACGCTTCCGCTTGGTGTGGATCCACCTCAACCCCAATGTAAATCCATTTCTCCTTGGATAGTGGATCCAAGGGGTTGAGAAGTGAATTCAAGGGCAAATTCCACGTGGATGCAGGGCTTGGGATGCTGCTTCTCTCCGTAAAGCACCTCAAGGCCATGGAATGCAAGGGATTACAAGAGATGGGAAAGCATCCTCTGGATGGGAATTCCTAAAGGTAAGGGTTACTCCAAGGTGGGTGAGTTACGCGCTCTTTACGCATCCTTTACCACCAGCCCTGGGGCTCGGAGCAGTGGGGTCGGAGGTGAGGACCCATTAGGGTTTAGGTGCTGGTATGCCATGGGTGATTCCCATGGATCCAGGGAAGCCGTCAGTGGCTCCCGGTTGGAATCCCAAGGTATCCCATAGGTGATGCCCATGGCTGCAGGGCCCCGAGGAGCTCCCATCGCCACCCTGGAGGGAGGGCGCCGCCGCGGGGCATGATGGGAGTTGTGGTCCTCCTTAGCGCTGCAGCCAATGCCGCGCCTACATCTTCCCTAGTACCCTGCGCTTCGCCGCCATTCCGCCGCGAAGAACACTGGGAGTTGTAGGCTTGCTAGAGCCAGCTGTAAAACTGCGCCTACAACTCCCGTGAGGTACTGCGCGCAGGCTCTAGCCGACCGCGGGGCATGCCGGGAGTTGTAGTCCTCCCTAGCGGTGCAGTCTGCTAAGCCTACAGCTCCCAGGATGTCGTGCGCGCCGGCCGCCGTTCCGCATCGGGGCATGATGGGAATCCTAGTCCTTGTTGGCGCAGCTCAATGCTGCGCCTACAACTCCCAGCATGCTCTGCGCGGCGCCATTTTGTGGCGGAGCGCGGCCCCTTCAAACACGCTCCGCGGGTTGAGGTGAGAGCTGTGGGGATGGAGGCGGATTCCCGGCGGGATGGGAATGGGGCGGGATGAGGCCCCTTTAAAGAGGTGCATTCTATGTGGTGACCGTGTCTTGTGAGGGAAAGGGGAGGGATAATGGCGGCCTGGTGGGGGGTAATGGCGGGGGGGAGGGTGGGAGGGTTGGTGACTATGTGGGGCTGATAGTGATGATGTGAAGCTGATGGTGACGATGTGGGGCTGATGAGGATGTGGGGCTGATGGTGATGATGTGGGGCTGATGGTGATGATGTGGGGCTGATGGTGATGATGTGGGGCTCATGGTGACGATGTGGGGTTAATGGTGATGTGGGGTGATGCGGATGATGTGAGGCTGATGCTGATGCTGTGGGGCTGATGGTGATGTGGGGATGATGGGGATGTGGGGCTGATGCTGATGATGTGGGGTGATGCAGATGATGTGAGGCTGATGGTGATGCTGTGGGGCTGATGTTGATATGGGGCTCATGCTGTTGATATGGGGCTCATGCTGTTGATGTGGGGCTCATGCTGTTGATGTGGGGCTGATGGGGATGATGTGGGGCTGGTGCGGGGCTGCTGATGCTGATGCGGGGCTGATGGTGCTGATGCGGGGCTGATGGTGACGATGCGGGGCTGATGGTGATGATGTGGGGCTGATGGTGACGATGTGGGGCTGATGGTGACGATGTGGGGCTGATGCTGCTGTGGGGCTTATGTGGGGTTGATGGTGCTGAACATCCTCTCCTATATCCTTCCCCCCCTCCCCCCCATTCCCACTGTTATTCCAAATCCCATCTCTTCATTCCCTGCCTTGTGCTTCCCTTTGGATCCCAATGGTCATCCCAAAGGGACCCATCCTGCTTCATGTAATAGATGCTGAGTAACCCCTTTAGTGTACGTTATTCCTTGTCCTTTCCTTGTAGATGCATGGGGAAGATTCGCACATGGATCATGGCTGGAAAACCTGGATCAGCCCCTGCATCCCTGGTGTCCTCCCTCTTTACTCCCTGGAGCAGCCGTTGTTCCCAGCCCTGTTCCATCCTTTACAAGGAGCATCCCTACAGCTCCGCATCAGAAGCCTTGGAAGCCTACATTGAGGACTTCAACCTGAGCTAAGCATCTCCCTGTGGAAGAATGGGGAAGATCTGCATCCATGGGAGCATTCCTAAGGGAATCAGGCTTCCCAAGCGCTGTGCCAAGGAAAAACAAGGTAGTGATTGCTCCTTTTCCCCCCTCTTCTTCCCTTTCCGTTTTCCCTTTTCCTTTCACTTTTCCCTCTTCCCTTTTCCCTTTCCCTTTTTCCTTTCCCTTTCCCTTTTTCTTCTTCCTTTCCCTTTCCCTTTCCTTTTCCTTTTCCCTTTCCCTTCCCTTTTCCCTTTTCCTTTTCCCTTTTCCCCTTTCCCCAGTAGTCCATGCACTAAGGAATGATCTCGTTCTCCCTGTCTCTGTGTATATGTGGATGTAAGTATGTAAGAGTGATGATATATTGAAAATGTGGGATCTGAGCATGACGTGAATAGTATGGAATAAGGGGGGGATACTGTCCTGGGTTCAGCAGTAGCAGTCATTTTTCTCCTCCTTGGTAGCTGGTGCAGTGCTGTGTTTTGATGTTCGGCCTGGGAACAGAGCTGATAACAATGATGTTTTGGTCTGGCCAAGGACTTTGTGAGCTTCATGCTCTGCCAGGGAGGAGGGGAAGCCAGGAGGAAGCAGAGACAGGACACCTGACCCAAACTGACCAAAGAGGTATTCCATACCACAGCACGTCATGCCCAGGAGGTAACTGAGAGTTACCCGGAAGGGCTGGGAGACTGCGGGGTTGGACAACGTATCAGTCAGTGCTTGGTTGGGCGAGGTGGGGTGAGTTATCGGTCAGTGGGTGGTGAGGTGATGTATTCTCTTTCCTTGTTACTTCCTTTATCATTATTATTATTGGTGGTAGCAGTAGTGATTTGTGTTATACCTTAGTTACTAAACTGTTCTTATCTCAACCCGTGGGAGTTACATTCTTTTCATTCTCCTCCCCATCCCTCCAGGAGCGGGGGGGAGGAAAACGGGG